CTGCCGCCAGTGCCGCCGACCCCCAAAGGGGAACAAGCTTCTATATGTAGGCGCGCGGGGTCCGGGCACGCATTGGCAGCCTTGCAATACTCTGGTAAGGGGAGCAAGAGAGGCAAGAGCCGGGATGCTGGGGGGCGGAAGGGCGGGGAGCAGTGGAGTTCTGAATGCAAGCTGGTGGGGGCGGTGTGGGTGGTGGGGGTGGTGTGAGTGGTGGGGGCGGTGTGGGTGCAGGGGAAGCAGAACGGCGAAAAGGTAAGAGGAGCAGGACGAGGGTTCAAAGAGGGAAGAGACGAGATGCTCAGAGGCGGAGAGGGTGGGAGCGGTGGAATTGTGAATGCAAGCTGGTGAGGGCAGTGTGGATGGTCGGGGTGGTGTACGTGGTGAGGGCGGTGTGGCTGCCGATGGCAGTGAGGGCGGCGAGGGCGTGTGGGTGGTGGAGGCGGTGTGGGTGGCCGCAAGCTGGTGGGGGCGGTGAGAGTGGTGGGGGTGGTGAGAGCGGTGTATGTGGTGGGCGCGGTGCGGGCGGTGAGGGCGCCGGGGGGTCCGGGCACGCATTGGCAGCCTTTAAATACTTTCTAAACACCTAAGCCTGGAACGGTGTGAGTGGGGAGGGCAGCAGAGTGGTGGGGGCGGTGTGGGTGGTGGAGGCGGTGGGGCGGTTTGGGTGGTGCGGGTGGTGAGGGCCTTGTGGGTGGTGGGGGCGGTGAGGGCGGTGAGATCGCGGCAGGTATGGGTGGTGGAGAACTCCGGAAAAGACGGTTATGCAAGGGTCACAATGGAGAGTCCAGGGAACGGCCACGTTGATGGAACAACAGCAACAACAGAACACTGCACCGATGCAGAGCCTTATGCCAATGTGTTCGTGGGTGTTTCAGACACCATGTTCGTCGTGCTTCTTCGAAGCTGAAAACCGAAGCTCAAAGACTGTGGAGGTTCCAAATGCACTGAGCAAATGTTTGTTATTGTTGCTTTGATCCCTCAGACGCTACTTCGAGTACTTCCGAAATTTGACAGATAACCTCGCCTCGAAGCTGTGCCGGCATGCCGGCAAGTTGGAACTTGTTTTCTTCATGATGCTCGCGCTTCGAGACGCTGCGAGAACAGGCTGTTTGACTAACGATATTGCGACCACTCCTGCTGCTGATGATGGTGTCATCAGAAAGGATCGGGGGAGATGCCCACCCTCACCGGCTGCAAGCGGAGTCTGCGTGACGGGGTGCGGGAGCAATTGCATGGCGGATTGTAGCGCCTGTTTGAGAACCTGCATCTCTTCTCAAATGCAGAATCTGCCAATGGCTTGCCTTGCTACGGCTTAGGCCATGTTGTTTGCTTTTCGGGCCTTCAATGCTGGGAGCCTGAAGATCATGGCGCAGGCTCTCTTCGTCTTTCCGTGGGGACTATCCATTAGACTATCTACCAGAGGAAGGGGCATTCAAGTTCGAGGACCACCGGTGGTGCGTCAATGGTGCTACTTAGTTTCGATGTGGCAGCGACTGAGACATCGGTCCGAGATACGATACGGTCAGGTGAATCTTCCAACCATGGCAGTTCTGTTGCGGGCTCAGATCAGATCTGACCGTGCTTGCGATGATACATCGGCTCGTAAATCAGAACTTTCTTTTCCTGGTGCATAGTAGGCCAGAGCCATGGATGCTTGTTGCCCCAAGCCCGTGGTATCCTCTGCGGCCCAGTATGGTTTTGGTTGCTAGTCGGCCAGTGCTGCAGGACGAACTTTGTGCAGTGAACATGCATCGCACTGCTGTCGAGGTCACGTCTAGTTCTGGGTCGTCGCTACACTACTCAGCAGAGCAGACCTGAGACAAGAAGCCGAGCACTGCCGCATGGTGCTTGAATTATCCGAGCTGAATTGCTGAAGATTTGGGTTTAAGCTTTGGCCAAGGTGGGCCGCGATTGCGTTGGTCGCTGCTGCGATGAGCTCAGCAAGGAGGCGTAAGTTGGAAGGTCACGGTTTAACACCCACAGTGATTCTGCTCGGTGAAGCATGCACGAACCTGGAGTGAGCTTTCAATATCGATGGGGGGGCAGTGGCCAGTCTGAGCGTTGAGGAACTGGACACAGGTGACTCCCAGAAACATGCATCCTAAGGCTGTGACTGCTTTCATGCAAGTGCTTTGCTCAGTTGACTCCGAGTGCCTTCCTGTGCTGATCAACTTGGAGTGTTTGATCGCTACACTTGTTGATGGCGCTTGGCTCAGGTACGGCTGCTGTACTACAGGCACCATGTCATGACGTGTCCCGTGGTTGTTCTTGCGGTATAGCCACTGCTAACGCTAGAGTCTAGAGTCGGGGCGCCTACGGCATTGAAGCCAATTTACTGCTTACTGCTTCTTTTCGGCAAGGCCGCCCTATTTCGGGCAGGAGCACCAGGCTCCTTTCCGCTTCCTGGGCGTTGCTGGACTCCTTTGCAGCGCCTTGGACAGCCCACAGGGACCCGTTGGAATCAAGACTCTCGTTTTGACAGGTGGTAGGGACCGATGTATACCAACGCATGATACCTGAATGCAAGGTATTTTTCTTTCTTGTTCCGCATCAATTTTGACCGAAAGGCCAAGGACTTAGTTTCTGGTGTTGCGAGCTATCTGAGCGAATCTGACGGAATTGGGGTTCACGTTCACCTGCAAGCTCGTGTCAGCTGATGGAAAAGTTGCGCCAAAATGGTTTCCGGCCAGGCCCAACCTGTACTTGCCTCGAGTACCACCGCTTCATTGCAAGGTTTCTCAAGCTTGATGCCTCCGAGAGGGCACCTTTTTACATTCAAAAGCCGGTTCCCGAGCGCAGGCTCATGCAAAAAGGGACCTTACGTTTGGATAAGCCCTGCCCAGGACGAACATAATGCTCGGAGAGGTTGTGACATCGTTCATCTTGACCGCTCTCTACCTGCAAACGTTAGCATCCTCCGAAGGAGGACTGCTTGTGAAGTCTTAGCGCGCGGTTCTTTCAGTTACACGCAAGCAGCGTTTGAAAGTTTGAGACTTCAGAACTTCAGATCTCAGACCTAGGAGCTACTTCGTGCTGCAGTTGGGAGCAGGCAGCACTGACACACTGCCGATGTGTTCGTCATGGGTGTCCGGGTCTAGGCAAGTCTAGTGCCAGTTGTGAGATCGACCCACCGACGGCCCTGGTATTTGTTCCATGTAAATGTCGGGCTCCAATGCTGCAGGTGTCAGACAGGCGAAATCTACTTGTCGTTCTGGTCTGGGCAATTCATGGCTGGATGGCCGGGATCATTGTGGGGATCCAAGAACTGAATGGAACACTCGGGAAAGTAGCAGGCGTTATACAGCATCCTATGAGGTCAAGCAGTGCTCAGCTGTCGTTAAGAACTTGTCCCACATTCTATCGGCAGCTGTTCGCTCCTCAGCCAGGGCGCCGATGTAGAATCCTCTCGAACGCATTGGTGCGCACATGATCGCAGAAGCGCTTCAAGGTGATGTACTTCTTCCCACTTGCCTTCATTGCTACACCGGTGAACAACGGACCTGTGTCTGCGTGTGCGTTGCTGGTCGCTCGGCCGAAGACGGTAGGCAGGGCTTCAAGGACAGCTTTCTTCAAGTGACTAGAAATGTGCATTGCGATCTGGCCTTGTGACCTAGGTGCTGATTGCCATCATGGTCTGGGCACTGGCTCCAACATTTCGCGAAAAGCGTCCCCAGTTTGGGCCTTATTCATCAGAGCAGATGCCGGACATTGCAGGGCTGGATTGGGCGTTTTCCTTGTGAATTTGCCAGGATGCACCATGGCGTCCACTTTGAACCGCCGCGACTGCCTGAGCTGTTTCGGAGTATGCCCAAGACTGTGTCTGTAGCACTTCTGCAGGCAGCCAAAGAACCAGCTGTCAACACCGTTCCTGCGGAAGGCAATTTTTTGCAAATTGCATTTGGCCAGCGGGCTGCTGCACGAGCTATGGGATGCAGGTGGCGTCTTCAAACTCTTGTGCGTCTTTTCAGCACCAAGCAACATTCATCTCCAGCCCTTGCAGTTGTCCAGTCATGGCATGCTTCTGAATGAACTTCAATTCAAGGTAGCCGATGGGTCCGAGCCCACAGCGGACCAGCAAGGCCTTTGGAAGGGGTCCTGGTAGGGGTTGCCTTTCATTGCTGGCTGTCAGGCTCGAGCTTCCCTCACATGGGCCCGGTGGCCGTGCACTCGGGCGAGAGTCCAGTCCCAGTCCGAACGCTGGAAGCCTGTCAGGTCCTTGGCTTCATCATGCTCGATGCCGCCAAGCCCATCCTTGTTAGCTGGGCTCACAGCAACAAGGCGCGTGGTTGCTCTGGACAGGAACACACGGGCGGGCCGCTGTCTTGGTCAGAGTCCTGCAGGCACCCGACCAGGGTTTCAACGGTGTCACGCTGATCCTTGTGCAGCATCCCGGCAGCACTCTATCAGTTATGTCAAGGCAGCTTAGCTGGTAGATCTGGTAGTTCCTTATGCTAGTACTGCATCTCAGGACATCGATCTCAACTGCCATAGGCCTGTGACTGTGTGTGCTGGAATGATAGTGTAGCTTTCCAAGCCGCGCAAGCAAGCATCAGAAGCTGCCCTCTCCAGTGCGAATCCGCATTGCGGGCACAAGGACTCCTGGTTGCTGCGAGACCTTCAATTTCGCTCCCAAGCTTGAAGGCACTTTTGGATGAGAGTCTGGCAACTCGTAGGAGAGCATGCGCTGCAGCCCAGATCCCCATTCTCGAAGTGATCTTTGCAAGCTAGAGCCATGAAGCTTTGCCAGGTGCAGCTACACCCGGGATATCGAGAGCGCGTCAGAATCTTGGGCCCGAGCTGCCATGCATGCGAATGCCAGTGCTCCTCTCTGGTGGGACCCGAATACGGTTCGATGTGGCTCGATGAGTTCCACCTCTTCTCGACGGTGGGACTCTATGGCCCGTTTGGGTTTTTTAATGCTGATTTTTTTCTTTTGGGGGGGGGGGGGGTTCCGCGGTGAAGGCCATAAGTGACCTTTTCTCCGAGGTGTACCACTGCCTCGAGCCGATGGCGGTCGGAAGGCCGAGGGATACTGCCGGGAAGCTGCGTTCGGTTTACATTCCTCGGAGCAGCAGTGCCGGCTTCGCAACCAGCATCAAACTGCTGTTTCGGCTTGCAACAAGCGCGGGCATCCAGAATCCAGATCACGATGCTTGACGTCCAGTTAGATTGCTGCAACGCAAGCCTCTTCAATGGTTGCTTGTCGACAGGCAACTCCCGGTGAGCTTCTGTCTAGTCATGAGCAAGCTAGCACCTCGGAGATCGTGTCAGAGGATCCATGGGAGCATCGCCGCATGGCTGTTCTTCAGGCTCTGTCTCATCATGGCCCTCGAGAAGTTGGATGCTGGATCTGTGCGAGTGCACCGGAGTAGGATATTTGCGGATCCGATTTCTTGGAGTTTAGAGTGGATCAGTTTGTGCCCTTGAGGTGCTCTGCCAGTCCAGTCTACCGCTTGTTGGAGTTTGCGGAGCACGCCCCTCAGTGGAGCAGTTTCCTCGCTTAGGCCTTGAGTTCAGGCAGCCTTCCAGCATCTGCAAGCATTCTCCGAGGCAGTGCTGTTCCGAAGACGTTACTCGGCCATGCAGCCGCAGCCCCAGAGACTCGCAGGACTTGTCTCATCAGCAAGCTCCAAGTGAGATGTTAATCTCCGAGGTGGTGCTCCCTGGCCGGAGTCACTGTCGCCTTGGGATGTTTCTACTACGTCAAGCATGAGGCCGCTCTGCAACACCTCGGGCTTCAGCTGTGCTTGCGCTTTCTTCAATTGGTTTTGTCTCGCAGGTGAAGCTTGCAAGCTGCATTGTGGGTAGCGAGGCCTGGATTCTCTGTCGCTGTCTTGCCAACGTTTTGCCTTTGTTTTTTGCGGCGCTTCGATGAAGGCGGACCATGCCTCATGTGCCTCGACGCGCCCAAGATGCATCGGAGATCATCGGAGCTTGCGGTGCTTGGATGTCCCGAGCGATCCTTCGCAAGGTCGGGCACGGTCCTGGCGTTGTCCAGCATCAGCAGTGATCCTCAGAGAGAGTCTCGGACGAACACTGACGCGTTCTTCAATCAGAAAACGTACCCCAGGCTTCAACTGTCTTGGGGTCCGGAGCACAGCAGAGCTCTGTGAGTTCAGAGTGGGAGCCTGAGTGCCTTTCAGGCCCTTCTGGCCGAAAAGTTCCTGAAGACGAGGCCGCGCACCCAGAGGGACTGTGCTTAGGCCCAGGTTGTAAGAATGTCAGAGGTGTCTCAGACGTATCGGCTGCATCGTTCTAACTGGAACAATTGCTGGTTGAATGTATCGCTTTGCATTGCTTCACGCTTTCAGTTGCAGATCCACGGTTTGGTGTCGTAAACTCACAGGCGTAGCAATGCGTAGCATGGATGGCTCTGTCGTCCACCAGGAGTGGCCTTCTGTACGAGCAGAAAGTGCAGCTGGTCTCGGGAGAGGCGGTTTGCCATGTTTCGGAACGATGGCTTGATTCGGTGCAAGTCTTCCCGTGGCCATTTCCTCTGAACTGCAAGTACGATGTGCAGCAATGCCTCACAGTCTGGCGGCTGATCCAAAAGGTTCTTTTTAACATCTTTCTCCTGATCATCATGCCCTTTCTCTTTAGCGTCGTGAGCTCAGCAGCAGTCGGCTCGGCATGTGCGAACAGACTTGCGATGAGGCTCCGGTGAAAGCGCATTTTTTGTGCTTCATCACAGGATCCGGCGAAGAGTTCCTTCAACAACGTCTTCGAGCGGGGCTTCTTTGCTGGCTGGGTGGGCTCGCAAGCTTGGCTTCGTGTCGGTTCTCGTATTCTTCAGTGCTCGCGATTGGCAGCAGATCACAGCCACCCACAGACCACGGCATGTGCAGCAGAAGATTGAACAGGGGAAGCTCTTTGCCGTTAAGTGTGGTGTGTTCCAACACACGCTGCCCAGGATGTGCGAGTGCTCATCTGTGCACTTGTGTGGATCCCTTCAGGCCTGCCACCTCCATGTTGTGCTTCGAGAGAGCGAGAGAAAGAAACATATGCATATGACCGACTAAAAGCTCCAGGGGATCTAGATTTGGTTTCGCCAGCTTGGTTACGCCATTTTGTTGGAAGGTCGGAGCTTTGAGTCAGCATGCGAATGCAACTTCAGCTCGAAAAACATGACATGTCGGGGGATAGTTTCGGATAGTTCATGTCGTTAGATATCTCGTTGTAAATCACCCCGACATGTATGGCGAGCTCACTGTAGTGTCACAAACAGGCGTCCCAAAGCAGCACTGACAGTGCGAGATGCACTAATGGTACACATTGTCGGGAGATCATGGTAGTTGATCATCTGTGCAGAGTTTCGGGGAAAAACTGATGTGTACCACAAACCTTTTGACGCCTCCTCAAAGCCCCGTAGCATATGGGGGGCCTAGCGGCCGGGGACCCTCAACAGCTCCCGATGCCCTGGCGAAGAAGAGAGATACTCGTAGAGATCCATTTTGGCTCAAGTCTCTCACCTTGTGGGAACCGGGCTGTCACCGGGGGACCTGGTGGTGGGCTTGAGGCCACACGCCGCAACAGTTTGCTTGCAAGGACCCGAGGGTTCGCACCAACTCTGACCCCGGCCCCTTGGGAACCCTGTTCCCCGACTGAGCTAGACAAGGGCCCGAGGGTGGCCCGGTAGAAGGGCGGTGCGACATGCGTCAGATCGAGGAACTCGGAGTGATCCAGACGCACCAGCAGTCTTACGAAGGCCTGGCAAGGGAGCACCCAATGCAGACGCACCTCGAAGACCTCTCGCTCGACGAAGACCTGGAATAGACGTGCCTGTGCTGTAGAAGATTTCGAGGCTTCGGTGCTGGAAGTTATTCCTCCATTGATTTGTTGAATGGTTTTATGAATTTTTCTGTACTACACACTATTCGCACGCATTGCTCTTATGCAAAATGTCATCTCCTCCGAAGCTTTGGCTTCCTCCCGTACGACGAGGCCGAGGACATGATGAATTCGGCCGAGGCTTGTTACACGAAATTCGAATAGATCAGGTGCTTGTACTTGGGCGCAATGTGTGTTTTTATGTGGTGTGCTACTGAGGTGTTCCTGGGGTGGCAGACACGTGGTAATGGATACCCCATTGCCTGTGCAGCCACCGCCGCCATCCAAGTGTTGGACGCCCCCACGACCGAGAGGTACAACTGTAGTATGTGGGGGCAGCTTGGTTTGGGTGGTGGCGGGTTCGCTGTACAGTCGGCGTATTAGAATCTTTTCTGTCCAGGAGCTTGGGTGCACCGTCTTAAGGCCTTCGGCATGACCGACATGGGGATGGCGCGAAGGTCAGGGAAACTTACGGGCCTTAAGGGGGCAATGCCCCTAAAAATAGTTTCAATATACCTTATGACGATTGACTCAGGAATCCCTAGGCTACCCTTTTAGAAATCTTTAGAAACTATTTGTGTAGACCTCCCTGAGAAGTCTCCACCAGATGGAGGACCTGCTCCGTTAAAATCGGTCGCTCCCGGTCAGGAAGGTGGGAGCACTTGCGAAAGAAATAAGACAATATGTCTGATTTGGCACGCGTTAACAAATTTTAGCTTCGGCTTTCATGTCAGTCATGTTGTGCAAGCTAACACATTCAATGCATGTAGACATGGCAACAGAATTACCTCGCTCCGGCAAGGTCGCAGGCTTGTGAGTTGAACTCTCTATCGAGGCTCCGGGCGCACCTTGGGCGGCTGTTTTCCAGCACACGGAAAGCATCTTCCAGAAGGTTTTCCAACAGTCGATTGGAGTGGAAGTGCCCAAAGAGAGCATGCTGGCCTCAGCTAGGAAGTCAAGGGTGTTTGATCGCAACCGAGCCATATGTGTAGCGTATCATTACACAAGCTTAAAGCTCAAGCAGAAGCACCGTTTTGTCAGGTACATAGCAATCCTGCTCTTGACCGCACAGTCACATACTCGTCTGGATATCATTATCGTGATCGAACGAGAGTATACGGTACAGCAAGTAGCAAGCAACATTGTAATTCGCGTTGCAGGAGAGTGGTGTCTTCCGGTGCAAGAACGAAGACCTTCATGACTTCCTTCCGAACTGGAAGAAAACCTGCTGGCAGCGCCTTAATTATGCATCGGCTGGGGTACGTTGACCGGAACAACAATCGCCGACAGGGTGATGGTCCGGATCCCGGTCATGTCCAAGGACATGCCCGCGTCCCAAGTGGCGGAGCTGGGACTCCGCCACGCCGATACCTTCGACTCTAATTAGGCCGCACACATTGAATAAACATATATATATATATATATTAATTATAAAGAATCTTCGTAAGAGGTAGGTGGTGCTGGTGTGCCGAAGTCGTTGTGGTTGTGGTAGTAGTAGCCAAAATTGTAGTCTTTAAAGGGCCTCCAAGAAAAGCCCAGGACTGGCAGCGGTTGGCAGCTGCCGCCGGTGATCCGTCAGCAGCGGCGCTGCTGTATTATGTGTGCAATCAGGCCAAGTGGCGCAGAGCCCTGGGGAAAGCGAAAAGCTCCCACAGCGGTTTTGCGGCCACAGGCGAAGAAGGCACCATTTTGGGCCCCTTGGGCATGGACCTTGCAGCGGCCACTGTCAACATGGTCGCTGCAGCCCAGCATGCGCGAGTCAATCGTTGGTAAATCTAAGCAGTCTTAGCACACTGTGCTTTGTCAATGTGCCCAACAACAGCAACAGCAGCGGTTTAGTAGTGCCATCTCATTAACATTGCAGTCTGATCGGTCTTATCAGGAAGAACCGTGCCGAAAAATCCACCAGAAGTTCCGGTTGTTCGGGCCCAGTGTGTGAGTGTCTACTGCTCAGTTGTCATTGCAGCCTTTATAGTCATGCTACACGGATGTCTGTTTACTATCGTCATTGCTTGTGGGACAACTCCACAAGTGGCAGGGCAGAGAGAGAGTGCGCGGTGCAGGGGGTATGCCTTACACCATAGCCCTGGCGAAAGAGAGAGATAGAGAGAGAGAGGTTGATGGTACTTGTTTCTGAGATGGATGAAGAATTCCCCGATATGAACAGCCGTAGCCAAACACTCCTGTAGGCGTCCCTAAGTTTGCACTGTGAAGACTTCGGGGGAAACATGGGGTTTTCTGAAACCAACTTGTTTGTTATGGATACGCCGAAGTCACAAACCTTCTCACGCCTCTTCAAAGCCCCATAACATATGGGGGGCCTCAGTGGCCGGGGGGGTTAAACAGCTCCCTATGCCCTGGCGAAGAAGAGAGAGAGAGAGAGAGGGGACTGCATGACCCCGAAGCCCAGCAGAAAGAAAGAAAATAATCGCCAGCAGGGGGGAGAGCTTGCTTCGCATTTTTTGGAAGAACTTCGGCAGCAGCCCTTCGCAATGAATTTAGACGAGAATTAATCTAGCCTTGTGCGTGGCGATCTGTGCGAAGGTTGGACAGCAACAATGCTTGTCAAAGTCACAGCCTCAGTCGTCCTGGCTGCCACTTGCTGCCGGCTCATTCCAAAGAAACGGGCATGCCTCAAGCACTCCCTGGTACACGAGCTTTCATTCAGTTTGATTTTCCTTGCTAACCGTTTGTGCCAGCGCACAGCCACCGGACCGGTGGTGTAGGGGCTGGCTGGTAACACTGCCTGTGGCAATTTTGCTGCTGCCGATGCTTCGTTTGTTCACATGCCGACCAGCAATTAGCACTCGATGCAAACCCCAGTGGCGGCCGAGACGTGACAGGGTCCACTGCCTTGACTTATCGGTCTGCTCTTTGCAAGTGAGGGGATAACACAACATCAATTACAAAGACTGCATAACACCATTCGCTAGCACCTTGTTAAAGAAATTGCGTGGGGCAAGGCTCTCATGCAGAACCAGCTGCTCACGCGAATGATCTGAATTTTGACTCCGAAGGTTTAGCTAGCATCGTCTGCCTCTTTCCACACCAGCATCAGCCTTGCATCGGCAGCATCAGCAGCACGGCCACCACGACCACCACCACAGCAGCACCGCCGCGAAATGCACGATGCTCGTTCTGGAAGCCTTTGCAACCTCGCTCTCCTTGATTGAACGGACAAAGTGGGACAGCTAGCAGTGTCAGTGCATGTCAGAACTTGTACGCGGTTACTAGGGCTTCCACCAATTGCTCCGGAATCGCCTTATCATTCGCCGCATCGAGAGAGCCAACTGGGAAGGATCGGAACAGCGGCAAGGTGAAACATGGTTGACATGATTGTGAGCCTCCAATGGCTAGCAGGGCATTGCATGAAACACTTTCAAGCGCCGATACTCTGGGATCAACTGGGCAAGCGTGCTTTACCCGATGCGAGAGCCCTTTGGTGGGGCGGCCGCGTCCGATGATGTGAAGTTAGCCCGTCTTCAACATCACATCACTTTGCAGCAATGCTACACGCTGCTTACCGAACCAATTCGAAACCAGGCTGCCGTACTTTCCACATTGCCTGAACTTGTGAATGGATGGCCTTCGAACCGCAGCATTATGGAAAATATTGACAGGCAACTCAGAAGCGAGGCGTTTGCATGCATACGGTGGTCAGCCCACATTAGCCTTCCATCCCATTCAAAGCATGCCTTCCCAAACTCTTGCGTGTAAGGGAAGGACTCAGGGAAGCAATCACTGCGAAATGGCCAGTTCGATTTGGGCGGTCTTGATGCGGAGAAGATGGAAACTTTGGAAAGGCAGTGCAGGCTCAGTGTACCGTCTCCGGAAGGGCCTGGCATGGCATGGCTTTCGTTTAGCACACACGCAACTGGCTGCATTGTTCTACCCCGGTTGCGAGAGTTCCTCCCCATCCTACATGTGCAGAGCATAATAATACGTATCAGTCCCGCGCGAAAGGAAGCCTCCAACGTGCTGAAAGTCGTTGCCCAGGGTGCTGCATCGATGTTGCCAGGGACTTAGACGTAAGGTCACCGAGTCATAGATCATCAACTGGCTTCGGATAATGTGCTAGTCGCAGACCTGTGATTTTGCGGCAGGACCTACGCGTTCAGTCTGACGCCACTTGTGGCAGCAGCCGGCATGAAGGAATCGGGCAGTCCTTGGGGCCATCAGCATCCATAGTTACTAGCATATTCAGCAGAGCTTGTGAATTTTCTAGTTCAATTCTTAGGAAGAGATACATCAGATTGCGGGAGAAAGGCACCTACACTTGAAAATCAGAGCTTTCGAAAGTTGAGTCTTCAGAACTACGTTGTTTGTTGGAGAACAAAGTCGGAGTCTTGGCCTGCAACTTTGAGTGGTGTTAGACTTGACTAGCATACTCATGGTTTTCATGGTATCTGCCAAGCTTGCACGACCATTCACCTCTTATGGTACTCCTCACGCTAGTGCCTGACCCTTTCTGTTCTTCATAGTGTAAACGGTATCAGTGCTGGAGTAGCTATGCGGCTTGGCAAGGATTCAAGCAATAACTGAATGGGTGGTCAGCATGCGCAGATGCTAGCAGAACTTTTACTTTCACGGAAACTACAACTCCACCTGCTATCAATGTTGGTACTAGGAGTCACATCCTATACGCATACTCAGCCAGACAAACACGTAGCTGATGCTGCCGAGAGTAATATCTTTGACAACGAGCGGTTAATTAGCAATGCTCATATGCAACGCAGCACGAACTTTCTGTGAGAGATTTCAAGAAGATCGGCAATTGGACGGGCTTGTGCCTGTCTGTGTTTGCAGTACCTGGAACGTGCACAGTACAGTCTTTCGTGCTTCATTTGAGTACTGGCTTCAGTAGTACGGGGTCCTGTTGTTACTGTTAATGGTCTGCTATGACATGTGTGTGTGTAAGTGTGTAAACACATACACATGTACACGCAAGCAGGAGGCACATGCAGCGATACCAGCACATATTATTTGTGCAGGTATACATACAATCTACCTCTATGCGTACTCATCTGTCTGTCTATCCGTCCGTCCGTCCATCCATCTGTTCATGCATCTATCTGTTTAGCTATCTATCTATCTATCGATCTATCTATCCATCTATGTATCTATCTATCTTTCTTTCTAGCTACATATTTTCTATCGATCTATTTATCTACCTACCTATCTATCTATCTCTCTATCTCTCCATCTGTCTAACTATCTATCTATCTGTCCATCTGTCTATCTGTCTATCCAACTATCCACTAACAATCTATCCATCTATCTATCTATCTGTTTATCTGTCTATCTATCTGTTTATCTGTCCATATTGTTTAGAGTGTGCTTTTTTATGTAGTTCTTAGCCGATACTGTTGCATTCCATTCTACCCTAGTTCAGCCTAATATGTTTTTTCCTGTTCCATCCTACTATGGTTCACTATATGAGAGAACATAGTGAACGTCTAGACGCAAATTGCAATCACTTGATTGTAGTGGTGATAGTCAGCAGTGCGAGCACGGTTATGCAGTTATCTGCTGTTCAAGTAAATAATTGCGCTCATAAGATTACAAATTGAAGGCACTTTACCAGCTCCAGTGAGAGCGTCGCAGAACGTCCTTCTACGGGCATTGCCATCTACTTTTCCTGGAGGCCCGCGAACCGATCTCCCCGCCTGTGGCAGTTCTGGCTCTCAGCGTCCTCTTTGCAGGGGGCCTGGATGCATGCCTACTCTGCTTCGAAATCAGAAGCTGCTCTGTTTAACAGCGACGTCAGGCCGCATTGACGTTCGGCTTGGACAGCGTCCATGCTGGCTTCTTGCCCAGTTCCATTCTGACAGCAGGACAGGCGCACGAATCAATATTACATACAGAGCCTCAGCGTGTCAGAGGCTAAGGGCCCAAAGGCCCAAATCCCTAAAGCACATGCACATTTTCTGGAATCTCTCAATTGGGCTGAGGTCGGGCACCGTCTGAGGATTTGAAACGTGAGGATCCGCCGCTCCTGTTCTGCAAGTCTCAAGTCTTCCACGGAGCGCTCGCGTTGATGCTCGATGCCAGCTGAGGAACAAAGCTGTCGGCAGCACCGCTTGCGGTGGCTGAATGGTCTCGTGAGTTTTCTATTCCGCATGTCGATAAACAGGTGTCCACAAGCATGCCCATGCATACCCGCGCTCGCAAAAGCATGCACAGGTGCAAAAACTTGGGACGCCTGCACGGTTTGAAAAAGCTGGAAGGGCTTCATCTTAGACCTTTCTGCCAGTTTTCCCAGTGCGCACGTGCTCCTAAGCCACGAGCCACGGCAGGCAGAAGGCAGTGCAGAAGGCAGTGCACATTGAGGTGTTATCCAACAAGTGTACTCTAAGCACTGCCGTGCCTACCGGTGCCCGCTTGCACGATTGACTCCTCGTGCCTCGCCGGAAACGTGACAAATTGTAGCATCAACGCTTGTCCCGTCCTACCTGACTCAGGCCAGGGTATTTGCAATATTTTCTGTCGCACAACGCACCTTCGCTGCGCCGCTGCATCTTGTGGAAAGGCTGAAGGAGCCCTCAATGCATCAGTTTCGCCAGCTGAGCACTCTGGAACCCGAACCCCGGACCCCCCAACAACCACTTCACCAATCCATGCAAGGCAGAGTTTAGAATCATTTGCAACGCCGGGCCGAAGCTCCCTGCTCCGGCAAGTGAGACTGTGAGACTCATACCTCTGTGACTGGTTGTAAAGACTAAGCCGCCAAGCGTTGACGACGCCATGGAGCCCCGAGAGAGCCGCTGTGAAAGACATTCGTGAAGCGATGCGACTTTTGTGATCTGTGGTGTGCGATCTGGACCCTGCTATGTGGTAGAGTCTCTGAGCAATCTTCCTCCAGAGCACCTTGAAACCTTGAAGAAGTGTGTATGTCATCCGAGGCTAGCAGCAGCGAGGTACATCGCAAGCTGCAGCTATGGTGACCGTCCCAGTTCGTTGTGCCTCGAGAGTTCGACATCGACGATGTTTGCGATTTCTTGAAACTAGCGCTGGCTTGGCAGGTAGACGTGGCTGCCGTCGGTGCGAGCATATCACTGTGGACAGCTGAGGGAGGGAGGGTCTTATCCTGTGGACAACATTTGAGGGTTTGGGCTGCTGAGTGCACGATAACAGCGAAGTTGTAAGTGGGCCGTAAGGGAAATCATTTGGCAACAGAGCGAGACCCTGGAGGGCAAGCCGCAAAAGCAAACATCGGAAGTCCTTCTTTAGGAAGGGTATCTTTCCGTTATCAGCATTATAATGATATGGTTGCTATGTTTTGAAGCTCTTTTTCTTCTGAGGAGGTGGGCGAAGGAGGAATGGTGTCCGGGTCCCTTGCTCTGATCTCCCTGTCCTTTGGTCTTCTCTCTCTGGGTCCCCGGTCTCCTTGTCTTCCGGTCTGGCGGCCCTTTGGTCTTCGGCTTCAGAGACTTACCGCTCCTCTTGGGGTTGGGGGGTTTCTGGACCGATTCATCCGTGGTACCAGGGTTTGCCTCCCCGTCATTTCCCCCTTCCGGCGGCTCAGCGTCGACCAATCTTTTCCCCCTAAAATTAAACGGGGCCCCGCCAATAAAAACTCGAAAAGAATTTGTTTTTATTAGGGGGTATTTTTATCTCTAAGGGGTCGTGCTCTTGCCCCTGCTCTGGCTCTTGCTACCGTGGTGGCTTTTGCTCCTGCTTCCGCTGCGCTGTTGCTCCGGCTTGTGCTCCTGCTCTTGCTCTGACTCCCGCTCTTGCCTTTGTATTGCTCTTTGTGCTGCCCTGATGCTCCCGCTTTTGCTCTTGCTACTGCTCTAACCCCTGCTCTTGCTCTTGCTTTTGCTCTTGCTCTTGCTGTTACTGTGCTCTAAGGGTATTTGGAGCCTCGAAACCCTCCCCTAATTCAGAATAGGTTTTTACAGGGCAGGGATTCTGTCGGGAGGATTCGCCCTGCTGTGTTTTTGTTATTAGAGGGGTGTTAATAAACGGGGGAAGCGATTGCCGGGCATCGTTTCCTTGAGTTCGGGTTTGCCAGTTCGGATCTCCATTTTGGGTTTCACCTTCTTGGGTTCTCTTGGGGCCAGCAATAGGGTTCAAGGTTTCCCACCCATTGGAGTTTGTGATGTTCGTGACCCCGTCAGCCCGTTTGTGGGGTTAGGGCCGCCCATCATCTTCTTTGAAAGCTTCGGATTGTGTGTTTGCCACACAACATCTCTTCGGAGTTACCACCTGTCGTCTATGTGGGGGGGGGGTTCGATTTCGACATCACCTGCGCCACTGAGGGTTGGGGTTTGTGAAGATCCGGACACCTTGTCACTAGTTGGGGCCAGCTCATCCTTTTGGGGTGCTAGGTCTTGCCATACCATATCCCGATCGGGAATGGGTATGCTGCTTATCGTCTTATTCATCTTTTTTAGATTTTGATGTTTCTTCTTGAGGCCCTTAAGTTGGCCACCCATCATCTGTTACTAGGGTGTCGGAGCTTTGGGACGCAGCCATCGCTGATAGGGCTTTGCGCATATCATCTTGTTTCAAAGTTTGGGGTGCGGATGTGGCAGCCATCATCCCCTTTCAGAGCTTGGCTCGCGTCACATGTGATCTGTTATGAGTTATGGCCAGACTCCGAATCAGGTGTTCCTTCGCCATAGCATACAGGCTTTTGGTTTTTGTGGGCCCACTCGTCCATTGAAGGTCCTGGGATTGCCACCCATCATCTCAGATCCAACACACCTTGTCAGGGTGTCTAGCAGCTAGCATCTAGCAACAGATCACCACTGGGGTTTAGGGTTATCCGCACCGCTCAGTCATCTTAATTCTCCACGTCCCAATTGGGTATTGGGGTTTTTTTGGGAACCAGTCCTTTTAGGGTTTCCAGGTTCGAACACTCTCCGTATCTGGCCGGGTTCGTCACCCCCCATGCGCTGCTAGGGTTTGGCTTCTTTTTGGAAACATCAACCCTGGCAGGATTAGGATTTCAGGTTATCCTTTCAAATGTACGGAAAACAGCTGCCTTCATCACATTGTTTTTCTGTATATGTAGCAGTCTATTTTGTATAGTATGGTTGGCGTTTCAACCCTTTCTTTGTTGCCGTTGCCGTCGTTGTTGTTGTTGTTGCCGTTGCCGTACACAGGGCTGATGTTTACGATTGGCAAAAAAACCTTACAACCTTGTCGGGATCCACCGCCCGAATGGCTTCTCACAACACAGACCCGGAAAGTTCGATCTTTTTATATAGTGCTGCAATTAGAAACCGTGCAGCCCCCAAAAATGAACTTGGCAGTTGCAGCTTCATGCAAACCAGGATTTTGCAATTGGAATTCTCCAATAGCTTGCCGGGACACCGGGACCCTGAACATTGCAATTAGTCTGCGGCAAAACAAGATCCTGCGTGCTGGAATTCTGAATAGTTTTCCCTCGAACAAAGAAGTTGTAGTCGGATTTGCTCAAAAGATTTGCCGCAAAACCAGACTCCGACGGAATTGGTCGAAACAAATGGCAATGACAGCTGCAAATATACCAAATATTACGGGGCTGGTTACCAAAAGCCTTTGTATCCTCAGCACCATTTCTGTGACTCCTGAGCTCCGCTTTCTCTTGATTGCGTTGAGGTCAGTGCCGTTTAGGTCTTGTCAGTCTTGTCTTGTTTTTGCTGTAAACAGTGTTTCGTCTTGTCTGGCAGAAAGCAGTTTTTTGGTTGCAGTTTGATATCTTGTTTCCCTTCGGCTTGTGTTGCAACCCTCACCCGCAGCTGTTCTCAGCCTTTGCGTCCATGAAGGTGGTACCTCACTTCGTTCGGCACCTTGCTGCTGAACAAGGACAGCCACGATCCCTGTTACACCTATTGCCCCTGCAAGTCTGTATGCTAAGCTGCCAAGACAAAACCCGGCAGAGTTCTAATTCGACAGTGGGTGGAATTGTGGAATGGTTTTCTGCTCTGAACGAGTTTGAGTTTCTGCTGTCGCATTTGCGCAGTACCTCATGGGCTACCTACACGTCCAGCCCAACACCTTAGCTGCAGTGCAAATGGTGGAAGCCTCATGTGCTTCTTCACAGTCTCGTGCAGACGCGGGCTGCCGGAGTTGGGTCGTTGTAACATGCCCGCACAGCTAGAAGCAGTGCTAGGTGTCGACTGCCATCTATGGTGCTCTGAAAACTTTGAAGCTTGGAGACGTGTTACGGCTGGCACGGGAGGCAGGGGTCATGTTTGGGTGTGGCAAGGAAATTGATGGCCTCCACATGTCTGTGCCATCCTGACTGCAGGCTAGAAGCCTCGTGTCGCAGAAGAATGGGGCACGGAAGGCCAGGCAACTGGGAGTGGCTTCAGCACACGGTGGCTTGTGCCATCGAAGTTCCTTCTATGTATTCGGAGAGGGGGCGCACGGTCTTTGTGCGCAGAGGCGGTCGCTGACCCGGAGTCGCCGGACACCTCGGACCATCTCGATGGCCTTGGTAACAAGGTTCGTCCTTCGCGTGCTGTGGCTCGCTGTGCCGACTTCTGTGCTTTCGCGTTTGAGTGGGGGGGGTGGGGAGGCATGCGAATCGATAGAATCTAGTAGCAAGCATAGGCAGACCCCAGACCTCACATCCTGTGCAGTCCCTGTGCTTTTGCACCATTTCTCATGTCAACCCACCCACTAAAACAGTCCCTCGAAACTCGCAGAACACCAAGCACCTCCAAAGATCCACAACAAATCCCGTAATGCAATCCAAAACCAAAGCCATCTCCCACAATGATTCGAAGAACACTTGCCAGCCTGCCGCAGAGTATGCCAGAAGTTGAAATCATCGACTTTTTGACGACAAGAAAATTCCCTTCTTTCCTGAGGGCAGGCGGTGGCGCAGGAGCCTAATCCAGATGAGCTTCGTGGGTTTGATGCGAGCCCGCTCCCTATGAGCGACTTTGCTGTGTCCGAGGGTGCACCTGCTTCTGTTTCATCCCTCTTGCGACACTTCGTCTTGATCCCTTGCTGAGTTTTCCACGGTGGTGCTCGGCTTGGTGAGCGCCGAGCTTGGAGTGGCTCTGGAAGTGCGAACTTCTGCGCCCCGTGTGTTCCTCTGTGGGCGTTGGGCAAGGTCTCAAATACGTCGCAGCTTCGTTTACTGAGACCATCAAGGTGGGCCGTCCTGTGCGTCCAATTCTCTGTGTTTTCCGTGCTAGCCTGATGCCGGGGGGTCACTCCTTGTCTGTCAAGTTCATATTACATGTTGCTTCTGCTGGCTAACGAACTTGACTTGAAGAGACAGGCATCCGCCCCCTTCTTTACAGTGATCGTTGCCTACCTCATGCTAGGCCTGGCTTGGCGGATCCCGCGCAGGGCTTTGGTATCTAAAGATGGGGGATCCGATCGCTGTGTGCAGGTGAAAGAACTGGCGTGCCAGCCCGGGAACCCGGGATCGCTTTGCGGCTCTGTGAAGTGCTGTCTTTAGCAGTTATGCACTGGCCGTACCAGTACTAAAGACTACAGCACGGCCTTGACTTGTAGTACTACTGGTACTAGTGCCGGCACTCGTGTCTCACGTGCCAGTAGTGCTAGCAGCAGGAGCAGGAGCAAGACGGAAACGAAGCGAGAACGAAGAACAGCATGCCGCGTGCGAACAAAATGAGTAGCAGTAGGCCGCAGCAGGCGAGAACATAAACCGTATGGTGTCTGGAGTGGAGATGAAGCGGAGATGAAGTACGCTGTCAGCAAAGCAACTTCTAGCCGCATTCACCGGGCTAATGTAATCACTTGCAGGGCTTCTCCGTTTCGAGTCGATACAACAGCCACAGACAGCCTTTATGACGGGAAGAGCTTGCCTTCTGATTCAGTCAGGTTTTGGCATCTCTTGTGCCGGTTGCAGGAGGACTAGCTGCGGGCTCAGCTGGTCACACACGCTGAAGCGCTTGCAATCACTAGGTGCTGCCCGTCTTCTGACCCATCTAAGGAAGCCTGAACCAAAGCGACAGAGTCACCCAATTTCAGATGTTCCTGACCGAAGGTGTTGGTATCCTCCACCGAGCTGTCTTACAACATAGCAGGGGCCCAAGCTGGCGGGGCTTGGGACGAGGCCGAAGAATCGCCTTCATTCAGGAACTGGTGCAGCCACAGCCGTTTTGAAACAATTCTTTTGGCGAGGATACCCTGCATTTCGAAGTTGTTGAAGAACACGCACTTGCGGAAACTAGTTGTTCCCCAATTTGAGGGTATCCTGGAGCTTTGATTCGAGTGGAGCTTTAAGGACTCCACACGTAATCACCCGGAGCCCCCGGTCCCTGAAACCCTGAGAGGCTCATTTTGATGTGCTGAAATCGCTGTCTTCTGCCCAAAAAATGTGGCAAGACCATGCAGTTTCACGTTCAGAGCAAGGAGGGAGTGGTTAGTATCCCCGCAGGGCGCATGTGACAGGCGTCGCCTGCTGTGACACGGTGCACATCTTGGACGAAAACCGCCGCGGATTCATCGTCGCTTCCAACACTTCGGCGACACTTCGGTGTCCAACTTGATAAATCGCGCTTCCGCCACATTGATGTGCATATTTTGGGGTGTCTTTGGGTGGAAATCGTGCTCCCGCCATAATGGTCCCAGGCTCATGTTTGCTTTCAAAACGCGAGAAGACCCCCGCAGTGCCGTGTATATCCGTCCCTCAAATCGTGCTCCTGCCAAGTCCGGTGCGCATTTTGCTTCCGATGTCCCGTTCCTTTTGACGTGGGACTCGTGCTTGCACCACAGTCTGTTGCATGTATTGGCTCCTGACGCAGTGTGGTGCGCATTTCGGTCTCAGCGGGGTGCTCCCGGAATGGTTCGGCTTCGAGGTGCTCTTTCCACCGTATACCCAGACGGAGTGGTAAGTGCAGTCGATCTTTTCTTTAAGGGGAACTATTGTCACGCTGCTGGGAGGGGCTCAATGTGTTGAGCCAGTAAGTTCTTTAGCAGTGCTGTCGCTGCAGTCCTCCAGGCCTCGCACCAGTTACGGCATGATATGCAGTAGAGCGATGCACCAACGTGTGCTGGTTGCAGAGGTCGGGTTTGGAGCCGCCGTGCTGACCAACATCATTGAATGTGTGCAGAATGTCTTCAGCAAGAGGCTTCACTCTTTTGTTGAGTTCAGTGGTTCGTGTGAGGGGCTGTTTAAGTTCGTGGTCAAGCAGATGCGTCTTCGACCTCCGCGGGCATGATTGTCCATGTTGCTTGTGCGCATGGCGACCTCGGTCTTACGGTCGCTCTGGAGCTGGGCATATTTGCAACCTGAAGACAGCTCGGAAGACACAGCCCTGTCTGTCCAGGCTGCTGGCCAACGAGTACACGGCTTCCCAGCAAGCTCGGCCCGTTGTAGACTGTAGACGTACCGGCCGCCATGAGACCGAAGCGGGGAATTGCCGAAGCAGCTACTGGCCAAGTCGGTGGAAGTGACTAGATGCTGCCATAAAAAAGCTGTTTCCACAGAAGGGGAGGTTCGATTCAACAGCTGCCTGCCAGGTTACAGTTCTACACGTCACTGACGGCTTTAGTGATGCAGGCCGGATCGCTTGCGAGTGTTGCTTGATTCAGCAGCGAGCATGCTCGACTTGCTGTAGCAGTTTAGGCACCGATCTTTCTGATTACCCACGAGCCTGCGGCCACGAGCTCAGACAACTTGTTCTCTTTTGTAATCGGAAGCAATTACGTGCTTCCCACTGTCTTTGCAATTTTCAAGGCGTCTCATTCGCACCACGTGGAACACGACATTTCGCACATCGGTCTGGGGAACAAGACGCTGGTCCGGCCTTCGGAAGCTCACAGTCAGATTAGTCGAAAGCTCGAGAGTGCGAGAACTCCTGAATCAGGCTCTCACTGTATCAAGAGACGAAATCATTCAAGAGTCGGGGCCTGTGTTTCTTGTGCAGGCTATCTTCAAGATGCATTGCATTGCTTGGCTTCTCTCAGCGGATCGTGGATCGTGGATCGCTGCGAAGCTAGTCGGGGTGTTGCAAAGCTAGAATCCTGTCAGAGTACAGCTGCACATTCCGAGAGCGTTCGAGAGCACGTCAATTAGCCGCACTGAGGAGTTGGACGGACTCCCTTCCGTGGCTCCGGCATCAATTGACTGCTTCAGAAAGCTCCAGAGCATATTTCCATCGGGCGATCCTGACTTCGGATGGGCTGTCCAAAATGGGTCAATTAGCATGAAAGAAGTATCTCGAAATGTCCTCATGAATTTCGGAGTTGTAGGTCAGCAATGTTTTGGAGTTTTCAAGCAGGTGTTGGTTTCTGCAGATCCCGTCTTTGGTCCCACATTTTTCTTTGTCCCAAGCCAGCTCAGTCGTAAATGGTGGTATTACTAGTTTTCATTGCTGCTACTTCAACTACCCTAACATTGCGTGTAGTATCACTATAACGGTTTTCTGGTGCCAGTCTGCGAGTGCTGCAATAAAGTGCCAGTCCTGCTGGACGTATGACCATGTCCGTTTTGCTCCCATGTTCATCTGTTATTCCAGTGATTCCAGTGACTTGCCGGCACAGCTGTCGACTGCCAGTGTTGACCCGGCAGGGACAGAAATCTGCTGCTCCTCCTGTGGATAGACGGAGTGCTGCAAGGGCCTCTGACCAGTGAGGAGCACTGACATCCCTTGTCAGTATCACCGGTTTACTATGCGCACCACGATCATTCTTATGTTCCGTCGTCGTGGTTGTTATCGCTGTTGCTGAACGGTGAGTCTTGTTACCAATGATCAATTGCAGTCTTGTTGCGGGCACAGTATGCTAAGTTGAAGGAGACTGCATCAAAGGAGAGTTATGGCACAGCCATGATAATTGCGCCTGCGGCAGCAACGGCAACGTACAGCAATCATTTATGCACACAGCAATGATTTTAGCACTCATGGCAGGGCCCATCGCAGCAAAAGTAATAATGGAAACAAGCATGAAACCGACAAGCATGACTCGAGTAAGCTCACCATCCACAGTCGTAGTGATCGTCGTTGGCATTTCTGTACTGGCTCCTTCAGGTACCACGTGCAGTCCGTCATCGCTTACGTGGTGATGTTGGCAGCCTAGCCTCGCACGCCTACATGTTCTACAGAGTGGGAAGTTCCTTTGGACGGCAAGGAGGAGATCAGTACATTTATAAATCATAAAGCACGAATGTATGTGTATGTATGTATATATATATATATACATATATATATATGTACATGTTACTTATAGGTATGAGCATATATACTGAGCATATATACATATATACATGTATGTATATGTATGTATATGTATGCATGTATGTACGTACGTATGTACGTATCTATGTATGAATGTATGTGCCACTCATCAGCCTTTGATGACCTCGCTTTCAGCACAGACAGGCGGCCCAGGTCTGAGGCATGGAAAGGCTTGTTGCTGTGCGGTCATCCCGAGGTCATACTTGTCTCCAGTGACCGTGTCGGCCTGGAGCTTCGGTGCCTTCAGGCCAAAGCCGGCAAGCAGATCTCACGCTGCCCAGGTGGTGAACACGTTGAAGCGCGCCTTGATCATCTGCATCAGCGTGCAGGCCTGGTTGCTTGTTTTTCGGACTCTGGGAATGCAGACAACTCTGCCAATGGCGAGAAATTTTACACTGTAAAGTTCGACTTAGATACCGACAGTGCTGGGGTGCAGGTCTTCGGAAATCAAGTGACTCCTCTGACCAAGCTTGGCCCTGTGCTGAGAGACGCTTGAAGCCAGGATGTCCAGCAGTTTCTGTGCTATTCCGTGCTCTGCTTGATTTCAGGTACCTTCATTTGTCTATGCGGCGTGCTTTGCTACAACTGGGCAAAGTAATGGCCCTAAAGACTGGCGTGGCCAATGCACTGCCTGACATGGAAGTCTTTTCGGCACGGCTTTTGGCCCCTCACAGATTTCACTGAACCTTTAAGAAGTCACATCCCCATCGCGTGGAGAGGGTGCTTGTGGCTGTGATCAAGCAAGTGGCATGCCATGCTCAACTCTCAGGCAGCACGGAGCGAAGTCGTGAATACCGTGCTGTGCTTAGGCCTGAGGGAATGCCAGAATTGGTACACATCATTCCTACGCTCACACTCAGGTTCACTCGGGCGGGGGACGTCGTGATTGAGGAAGGTGGCCGCACGTCAGACCGCAGGGCCTCAACGAATTTGCACTTCTTTTGTGAAGCAGGCCTTAAATCAGGCCTTAAAGCAGGGTTTTGGTGAGTGTATATAGGGGTGACTCCTTCTGTACATAGGTGAGTATACATTGTGGGTCTTCGTCTGGAGATACTAGAAATAGAAACCCTACATATATGGATCCGAGTCTGCGCGGCCACCATGAAAGGGGTTGTACTCCTGTGCCATCACCTGGCTAAATAGTGCTTTTCAATGTGAATCCAAAGCGTTTCTGCATTGGCTTGCAGCTCAGCCTGTAAGCCTTGTTCAACAATTCGGTGACAGGTCCTCCGCAGGACACCAGGACACCAGACAGACCTACCTATCAAGGCGTCCGTCTGGAGCTGCGGGCCCCGTGCAACATGGAAAGTGCATGCAAGCAGTCACATAACACAGTAGATCATCTGATCTGATACGCAAGACAGGAGTGGCAGCCTCGGTTGCCAAAGGTTTCCGGGGCTTTCACCCATGTCAACTGGGCTCGACAGGAGCGGATGCGCTCCCGCATGGATTCGAACAAAGAGCTTCAAGCAGTGCTATAGTCTTATGCTGCATGCTGGGTTGTAGCAAGCGGTGGCCGTCCTGAAGCGACAGAGCTCTGCGCAATGCCCACCCGGGGTTGGCAATTGTCTTGCAGCTGAAGCACATGGTTTTGCCCACAAGCTACCCACATGTGGAGACAGCGTGACTGTGCGATCCAAAGAACAGGCCAGCGAGGCTTATCAAGTAGGCATGAGGACTTTGGGAAGCCATGGTTCCGTACCGACCTTGCAACTGTGGAGTCTTGGCATTCTTGCAGTTCGAGGAGGCTTCAGCAGTTGCGAGGCGTCGCTGCAGTTTGATTCTTCTACGAGCGATTGCAACATCCATGAGCATGTGCCGTTCTCTGGGGCGTTATTCCAGCAGATGGCCGGCAAGGTGAACTCAACTGAAGCCTGTGCAGCACTTTGCGCAGGTGCGGCGCTTCAAGGATGTGAAGCCTTCATCTTTTGCAAGCCCGATCAGACTTCACATGAGGTTGGTCTTTCAGTTGACTTTTGCATGCTGCTGCACACAGTCCAAGAGGTGCAAGATGATCGAAGCCCTTTTCCTGGCAGATGCAGCTCCGGGCGTGCTTGTGCCTCTGATTGTCGAGATTTAGATTCTCAACTGTCCCTGGTCTTCCCTGATGCGGATGCTTCGTTGGTCTCGAGCTGCTCTGCACTGGTTGACCGGCAGCCTGGCAACTGTTGGTCATCGTGGAATGATGGGAAGCGAGAGGAAACGACAGATCCTGACGTTCGCATGGTGCAGGCGCTTTGCCCAGAAAGCTGTCGCTCCTGCTCGAACGCTTCGCTCCAAGGCACATCCAGAAGTGGAAGCCGCGGGCATGCCACCGTTGCCGCAGCTGAACTTGCTCGGATGACTGCCTCAGTGCCTGCTACAGCTCGGTGTTCGATCGAAAGGCAGATGGCTTATCAGGACGAGAGCAGGTATTTCTTCAGGTGGCGAGCCGTGCTTAGCGCAGAGACTTGTGCCTCTTTGTGCGCCAGCAGCCCGGAATGTCTTGCTTTCACCTTTTATGTGGCAGATCAGAGTGAGTTTTCGAAGTTCGACTGCGTGCTGCACAACTCTACATCTGCCAGCACACATGGTCGTCGGGCAGACCCTTGCTGTCACTCTGGACAAGCTTGTGCTGCACGATGCACCAACCAGGATCTATATGTGCCCTGCTAGTTGCAAAGCACTGTTTTCTGGCATGCTCGAGACTTTTCCTTGTTGCTTTTGAAAGTGCATGTCCTGATTGCCTCCTTTAAATCGAACCTCTCCGTGCCTGCCTTGCCCCAGGTGTCGCTGCTGACTCAGACCAGTGGTTTGTCCTACATAACGAACTGCGAGGAGTATCTGGTGTCGTTGTTTTTCGCACAGAATGCCAGTTCTTGCCAGAGCCTCCCGGATCCAGGGCTTACCGAAGGTCTTTGCGCTCTTAGCTGTTTTGCTCGTGTGCCCATCATGGGTGGCCTGGCAGCGATATGCAAATTGCGGTGTCTCCCGAAGCCTGAACCCCAAACCCTAGCCCTAGTGCCTTGTTTTCGTGGCCCAGGCAGCGGTGATGCCTACCCCACCTTGCCACCAAGCACGACAACGGAAACACCGCTGCGCTCGTCGTCGCAAGTGCAAGGCCACAGGGCTAGGGTAACTAGAGCAGCATCTCAACCGACTTCGGGCCAAACGACAGGGTGGATAGGGCATGGCATTTCGATGGCAGTTGCTAGCTTGTTAATGGCTACCGTCGCTGCCAGGGCTGATCCAGGGTTCTCCTACAACTACTCAAAGCTCCAGTACCCCAATGGCTGCCACTCCACGGCCCGGAGTCGTGCAGACTGCTGTTGGCTCAACAACTTTGTCAATTCCACATTTCCGCGCGCTGTTCTGCCTGCTGATCAGCAGAGCCTTCGCTCACTCGTAAGGCCTTTTTCCACGCGTGCAGTGCACCTGGAAGCTGCTCTGGGCGACCTCAGACCTCTTGCTTTTGCGCCAGATGGGAGACTCACATACTCGAGAATCCGGACCAGCTCCGGGAAGCAGATGGCAGGGACCTTCGAAGAATGCAAAGCTCAGAACGGCAAGCAGTGATCGGCAAGTACTCGTAGAAAGCGGGGTATTTTGACCAGTCCGCGCATCGAAAACATGATACCTTCCTGGCATCCTGGAGCTGCAAGCTTCAGCGAGACAAAGTTTCGGGAGAAGGAGTCATGTGGGTCCTTGCTGCGAACAAGGAGTGCCCGAAGAGAGATCGGTTCTCTGAGAAACGAGCTGTGGATCCAGCCAGCTGTAGTGGCGCTTGGGGCCCTGCGCAGATTTGACAGATCTTACAAATTAAAATGCGTGATTTGCGTGATTGTGTTTCACCACATTCGTAGGACTGCAGCACTGCACTGCAAAGCCTTTTTGCCTGGCAGAAAGGATCCCGAGCTGCTTGTGTACAGCCGCTTTAGTGCCTACAAGTGATACTTTCCAGGGCATCGCTCGGCTGCGACATTTAGGCAGATGATTCTTAGCACATGTCCTAAGCCACAAGACCGGTTGTTCATGCGATGGTGCCTAAACTAAACTCGATGTAAGTGCGCTTTTGGGCAGTGGACATAGCCCTGCTCACAAGGACATCACTAGGACTTGAAGGGAATCCAATCCATACCTGAGCTGTTGGTGCCGAGCAGCGGCCATGTCCTATACCAGAGCAGAAACTGAAGACCTCCTCGTGAGACTGGAGCGCAGTCTGCAGCGGCATGCTGATGCCGCCACCTGGCTGCATTGAAGGATGGATAGGATGGTGAAGGCCACTTGACCTTTTGCGGTGATCCAAAACTCAATGCTTTCGCAGTCAGCTGAACCCCCGAAGGGCCGTCTCTCGCCTGGGGTGCAGAAGTTTGCTCACGGAGAGCACGATGTTGTATTGTGTTCATCTTTGCCGTGCTGAGACCGTGGGAGTTCGGCGGAAGGCTGCCGAGACGGAGGTGTTGAAGGCCGTGTCGTCCCGGCTGAGTCTCTGCAGTTGGAGTCTGCTGTGTTTGCCTTAGGGAAAAGACAAGTTCTCCTCTGTGACAGGAGCTAGGAGCTGCGCGGGATCTTCTCTCCAAAGCTGCAGCTTGCCCAAACCATAACCATTGCAACCCTCATGCGTGTGAACCTGCGAACTTGCACGATCCCTTTTACTCTTCCTTTTTGGAAGGGTGCCGCCTTCTGTTGGGTTCCTAGAAAGGACGTTAGTTTAGAGAATTACCGATGCCTTCCTAGTAGGAGTATTTGGACGACATCTGGACTCAGGCCCGAGGCGATCGAGCGCTCCTGGAGGACATCTTTGGGGGCTCCTGTGAGTGTCTGGATAGACGTTAGATGTGGTTATAAGCGGTTTGGCGCTGTGGGATTCCGAGGCGGATACCCGACCTTCTAAGAATGTACATCCTGATGTTGGCTCTGTCAAGACAGTCTGGAGTCTGCCTGCATTTGGTGTCTGCATCGCTTCGAGAAACGAAGGTATTTCTGGCGCTACCAAAATGCCTTGGATCGCGTCCAGCTCTCCGAGGCGGTGGCTGTTGTCGAGTCTTATCTCTTATGCTTCGAAGACAGCTGCTGAGTCAGATTCTGGGAGTGGTTTCCTTAATGTCAACTTGTGGAAGGGGTCCAGCAACATCAGCAACCAGCGGGGCTCTTCGAGTTCTCGTGGCCTGACAGGAGCACGCCCAGGACCCACGTTTGGCAGAACTCCGGGCTGGACTGCAGACGGCCAAGTCGGTGCTCCAGGACGTAGGCTGAGGGACCTATGGTGGTCTTTCGTAGATGCAGTCGAGTCCTCATATGCCAGGCAGCTTCAAAGTCTGGCTGTTGGAGATGACAGCTCCAACGGAGCTGAGTTACGAGGGTCTCGGGACCTGGCCAGTTGAGAGTGTCAATATGGAGCCAGTTCTGCAAGGCCTGTCTAGCTGCCTGTCCAAGTGCACCCAAGTTAGTGGTCGAAGAGCTTGGGTTCATTCTTGGGTCAGCGAAAAGATGCGAAGAATGCTGTAGCACTGTAGCATGTTTGCAGCAGTCACAGGGACCCGAATCCCGGTCCACTTTGCTAGTCACACCGTGGTAGGATTACTACTCGTAGGGCTACAAGGGCATCCGTGGTTGCCGAAGCGACTCAGATTGTTGTGCCCGCAGGCTGCAACAAGGCCACTGTACGCTTCCTGGCCACCCCGTCGTTGCCTTCGTGCCTGTTGCGCGTCTATAGAAGTGCTGTCATGTCTCGAGCTCGTTCGAAAAATTCTTCCCACTGTGTCCTTACCGTCATGCACTGCACGTGAGGAAGCTGGACCGGACTTCCGGTGAGATTTCGGGTGCGGTGCAGGAGCCAGAGGCCGGGGCATTGGAGGGACAGATTGAAACTGCACCAGCGGCTGCATCACAAAACACAGAAGTCTTAAGCATCTGCCCTTGTGACGAGGATGATGCCTGGGCACAGCCTTACACGATTATTGCATCCAATGCAGCTGGCATGGCTAGCTGCCCGCCGGCACTTGCGACGTGGGCCCTGAATTCCAGGTCTTTTCATGTGAAACGGATTGTCCGCTAGGCATCGATGTGAACTTCAGTGGGAGGACTTTGCCTCCGAAGATCATGAAGTGTCTTGGTAGATTGTGGCGTATGGGATGTCACACTGTGAACTTTGTTGTCTAGCAGAGAGTCCAAGAGTGTTTTCCAGAGTTTTCTTGCATGTCAGAGACATGTCAATGCGTCAGTATGTATGCAGAACGGTTGTTGTATGTTTTCAGTGTGTGTTGAGCCGTTGGCCTCGGTGATGTGAGATGATGTGAGGAAAGGCTCTGAAGGAGTTGTGAGTCCATTAGTTCTTGCGTAGAGTTTGCGTAGGCGTAGGCCTTTTATCCGCCATCATTGTGAAGGTTGTTTGCTGCAGACTCTTCTCTTGTTGCTTTGCATCTGTGGCACTTACGATGGAAAGAGGTTAAATGTGCTCCATTTCAAGGCGCACGGGGGCCGAAGCAGTGGGTGACGATAAAACGCTTCGTTCTTCACTGTATTTTACTGCGGTGGCGTGCGTCGTCATTTAAGGGACACTAAAAAAACCCTAGAAGGGACACCTAATCCTAATACCTTATATAACCCTTGTATTATACCCCTTATATAGCCTCATAAAGCCTCTATATAACCCCAAGGGGGTCCCTTTAGGGGTCTCTCCTTTAGTCCCTTGAGTCATGAATTTGCGGCGCGATTCCGATGCCAGTGTGCTCGGAAAAGTTAATCCTTGGATCTTGCAGTGTTTTATGGTGGTTTCGTCGCGACATGTCGCGACTGCGATTCGCGACTGCAAACCTTCTCGGTGGGCGCAAGGGGTGGTCCGTGATTTCATGCTGCCGACGTGAGCGGAGTCCTTTCATCTTTCAAGTTATTTCACGCCCAGGTATGCTGGCGTCTCCGCCGAGACCTCGCAGTGTCAAATTGGGCAAAAGCTACTGGCAGTGCGGTTAACATCTTGTTGTGTTTCATTTTGCAGGGCTTTGGCTTCCCTTGGAATCTGTAAGCTGAAGATGCTGTGCTGCGCTTGGGCCAGGGTCTGCTGGCTGCCGAAGGCAGCAGGCGGGCTTTGCAGCTGGTCGGTCCAGCCTCAGCTGCCAGAAGGTCTCTGGATTGATGAAGAGAGTGGCTGCATCTTCGGTTCTCCTGCTGCGCCTGCCGAACATGGTATATACACCGTGGTCGCCACAAATGCAGGAGGGTCTGACAGCTTCACTATCGAGTTCAGCGTGGAGGGCGGTCGAAAAACTACAGAGACTGTGACAGAGGCATCTGCACCAGCTGCAAATTGCCTCTCTTGCGACGGCCTTGGCTGTGGCCTTTGCTCCAGGCGCCAAGCTGAAGAAGCTCTTCGTGAGCTTCAAAGACCAGCTCTCGTGTATCAACTCGAGTGGCGCAAAGAACGTCGGTCGGAGCACAGAGATTGGACGTCCCATTCCTTCTTGCACGCGCTGCTGGATGACGGCCGCACTATGCGAATTCAGCGATTTGAGGGCTCGGACGACTTTGTCACCTGGTTTTGGCCAGGCCATGTTCAGACAATCCTAAGCATATGATCCATGTGAACCGGATCTCTTTGCGCGCGTGGGTGCTTCTTGTGCGGAATTTCTGCGGGTGCGATCGCAGGGGATACAGTTTCTTGGTTTGGCACATGTTTGCTACAGAATTAGAGGGTTGCACACCAGCGTGAGTGGCAACAGAGCTGTAGCAATCTGCATGAGTGGTAGCAGATGAGAAAGCTCGTATGCGTTCTACTTGCAGCTTCCCAATTCCCCCCTTTGCTTCCCAGCCTGTTGAAGTCGTTTAAGTGCCCAGCGTTTCAGGGCGAAGACTGCGATTTCGGTAGTCAGCTGAGTTGCTAGACTTGTGTCCGGATATCGTCGCACCCGGCTTGGCGAGTTGGTCACTTGTATTCTTCGTGGTGCTGCTGGGTTTGTGCTGCATCTCTGAGACTCTACGGCATGCATGCTGAGAGGCGAGCAAGCGGCCGAGGGCACCATTTACAAGGACCGAGTTGCTCGCGTTGCGGACCTGCCACTTGCAGGCAGTTTTGCAGCCCAAGATGACTTCATTTACCTCCCGGGAGGTCGTGTTCACACTCTCTCGCTTTCGTAGTTGCATCCCCTCAAGGACCCGGTCCCTTAGGGGTTAGTGGGCTTCAGAGCTCTTGGGGTTGTGGCTGTAGCTTGGTTCACTCGTTTGATCCGAGGAAGCCCAAGCTGACTTCGACGGAGCTACAGGATGTTGCCCAGATGAAAGCCAGCTGTGATTATGACACAGCATATCACAACTGCTTCTTGGCATGTACGGGCTTTTCAGAGTTATTGGGATACAAGAGCCAGCTCGTTGGCAGTTGGACAGGTCACCATTTCGCTCGTGACGTGTGGAATGCGGTGGTGGTGGCCAGTCTTCAGTGCACACACTATCCCGACAGGCCGCACGACTTGTGCTGTAGATCCATGTCCTAGCAAAGGTTAAGAGCTCAAGACTGTGAGACTATGCCTGAGGCTTAAGGTTGGGCTACTCCGCGGCGCCAGCCCTTGGGATGCAGTCAGGAAGTTTGTGAGTTCTATGAGTACTTTTCGAAAACACACGGAGGTATGCCGCTTCGTGCTGCGGCGCGTGGCTACGAGAAGGCCCTGGCAGAGTCGCTGCCATTGCAGAGCCGGTCTTGCGCTTGTTGCCTGTTGTGGTTTTTTAGCAGGCCTCCGCCCGGCTCCAACTCGCAGAGGAGGTACGCCAAAATGATAGATCCCAGGTACCTGGAGCATTTTCAGATTCGGAGTAAATTATCGAAAAATTGGAAGATCTTGTGCAGCATAGCTCCTGCACTTAGGCAGTTATAGTTGTGGGTGAATGGCAAAGCCACCAACCCAAGTGCTTTGATGTCTGCATCGAAGCCTGGACTCCCAGAGCAGTTCGCGGCCAAGCCAGTGCATGGGATGTGCTACTGCCGCAGCAACAAAGGGAGGCTTAGCTCTCCGGCTTGGTGCAAAGTGTAAACGGATGGTTCTCTAAATTAGGATCCCTTTTAGGGTCCTTTTTATAAGGGTGCCGTACTGTTTGGCAAATCATGATAAGTTCGCATGAAAGTCTGAGTGATGCCCCCCCCCAACGAAAAGAACTCTAAACCTACGCTCAAACCATGCATCCACACCTGTCTCGAGGAGTGATCGAACCTGTGTGCATTTGTAACGAAAGCTGCTGTCCGCCCTCTTTTCGCGCGCGAACTCATCCTCGACGCAGGGGTCTTCCAAAGACTTGCCTAGGTCTTGCGGGGCAGCTATTGCCGCTAACATCCGTATTCGTGAAACCAAGTTTCAAATAACCCCGTTGAAGAAAGGTCATTGTCACAACTTGCCCTTGAGACGACTCCGTGTGGATCGCACGAGCACCGGCACTGGGGTAGCCCAACCGCCGCGGCCGCACCTTGGCGAGGCCCGCAGTCTCTAAGCGCAGTAACTCGGTGGCGAAAGAGGAAGGAGAGCCGCAGATTGTCAAGTTCGACTTCAATATGCGTGTGGCCATCCAACCAGAGCTGCTGCAAGGGTTGTGCTGGCATTGTCATCAACACAGGTTGGCATTGGGCATGCAGCACGGATCTTGCGGAAGACAGCCTGTAATCTGCGAGTCTGTGGTGCATGCCTGCGCTGAGCCCATCAGAACACTGTTCCACGCGGCCATAGCCCACTTCCAGAACTGCACAATGCAAGCGTGAACTCAACGCCCAAAATCTCCTTGTCCTGGTCGCAAACCAGACACCTCGGACCCATCATGTTGTGTGTGCGTGTGTGGCGCTGGTCTGCTAGACAATGTTTGCCATTGCACTAGGTCAGGCGTGTTGACACAGCCAAGCTGACAAGACATCGCACGTCCTATCCATCAGAACTCCTGGCTTGCTGTCAACAAATGCTCCTACAAGTGCTGGTTATTCCACCCAGGACAACAGCAAACACGAAAGCGCTTTGAAAAACAAGTACGGCTCCGCATGGATTCCGACACGTTCTTCACCTGCATCGTTCTGGCCAACATGCGGACCGGAGTCCTGCGCCAGCGTGCGTCCCAGGATGAAGCTCCATGGTGCTTCCTCTGCGTCGTCGTTCTCGCCATTGAAGTTGCCGGCCACTGGTGGGCAGGCGAGCTCTGCTCCTTTCCGATTTTCCTGCCGTCCGCGCCCAACACCCCCAACCCGGGTGTTGATGGTCCGTACTTCTGGCTTTTGCCGTGTAGCTGCCGACCTGGCCCCTCCACGGCATCGCCCCCACTACAACAAGACGGGGGTTCCGCTGACATATGGGTGTGTGAGCAACCGAGTCGAAATCTGTCGGCAGAATAATTTAATGCAGTGGTGGTATGTACTCGGCGCTTGCTGCCATGTCGGTTGTAGATATTGCAATTGCCTCCATGTTACTGCGAGCCTGCTGGGGGTTGGTTCCATTTACGAACCCAGCACCCCCCCCGGACCTACGCACAGCTGGATTTTCGTGCCGTTGCCGCGCGGCTGTGGGGCGCCTCCACCCGGACGCCTTGCAAACATGGGAAACCGACCCCTGCTATGGTGCGCACTGGTCGCGAGCCCTCGCCAACCTCCGGCTAGCGGGCTCCGTGCCTCCCGCCTCTGTCGTCCATGCCTTACACATCCTGCAGCAGCTTTCTTCCGAAGAAGGCCGGCCTGTGCCGCTCCCTTTTGAACATTAGTGGTGGCGCTAGCACGTTGCCGGCCAACGCTCCTGGGCACTCTCTCTGGGCTTGGAGTTTCGCGGTGCAGCCCGACGGATACATCCCTGCGACTGCGCAACAAGCTTTGCTGCATGTGTTTCTGGGGGAAGCGGCTGCATCTGAGCTAGCGCAACAGGCAAGCGCGTCCCCTGCGGCCACGACAACCGCCGCGCCAGAGCCCGCCACCCATCCCCCAGAGCACCCCGCACAACGCCCCGGCTCGGCCTCTAGCTCCTCAGCCTCATCCAGCTCTTCCTCACCCTTTGCAGCTGCCGGCCCGGTCCCCGCCGACGCCACCCCCCCAAACGAACCTGTGCAGCCCCAGGACCCTGCTTCCGACCACGTGCCGATCCAGCCAAGCACAGTACAAAACACACCGCTAGCAGGGGCTCGACCGCGAGCGGCGTTCGTCAGTCTCGACGCGTTTTGTGCGACTGACGTGTTGCAGCAGCCTTGCCCCACCTTCCGGTCCCCCCTAAACTCTTGCGAGGCCCACTCCGCCAAGCCATGCATTTGGCCTTGTCGCATATCCAATCTCTTGCAGCTGCTGCCACCATGCGTTGAGTCTGAGCGCGCGTGGAAGTTGTGGTTGTTCCTCCCCCGCATACTCTTGTTATCCCTTTTTCCGGCCGCAGGCTGCCCCTCGCATACCGGCCGCAGTCTTGCGTGCACGCATCACTCCCTTGAAAAGCGGGGATTGGGCTTCACTCCTGCGTGAGGCCTCCACTGCTCCGCCGCCCGCTCGAGCTTCCGAGCCCGGCGCTGAGCAGCGTGCTGACAGGGCGGCCTACTTAGCCCGCCTTGGTGAGCTCTCCGCCGCTCGACGCACTCTCCTGAGCGAGCCTCGTGCCCCGGGCGACCAAGCCACCCGTCGCGCCGAGTCGCACCAGCCAGCCATATGCCGCTCGCCTGTTGTCCTGGCTCCCCGAAGCACCTGTCGCTCTGCCTGCGCCTGCCTTGCTCACCAATCTGCGTCGCTCCCGTCGAGGTGCTGCCCCCGGCCCCACTGGACCTTCACGTCTGCCGACGAGGGTCCAACTGGGTTCCTAACGTGCTCCTAACCTAACGCCGACTGCGGCTAGCGCAGTGGCAGTCGGCTCGGCCCCGCTGCTCCGGCGAGGTCGAACACACGGTCCAGCTCCGGGCCCGGAAGCTGGCTTGCATGTGGGGGCGCGGGCCACGGGCTTCCGAGTGCCGTGCTGCTCACTGCCTGCTGCACCCAGCACCGTCTCGTCCAGGCGGAAGTGGCTGCGGCTCGCAATGCCGGCGGGGCCCGGTGGGCCCACGCGCACCAAGTCTCTGACAAGCCGCTGCGCTTCTCCGTTCCAGCGCCCGCCTATCTCGGAGCCGAGCACGAGGAGCCG